ATGCTGTAATGAAGTTACATTCATAAAACAATATACGGTACAACAAAAAATGACACCTAACATGCTTATATTATAAGAAGCAGGTGGCTAATGGAAGACATGAAATCTCCTAAGTGACATAGGTCTCCGATTTATATCATATTTGGTCTGCAACATACCATAATTTTATTCCGTGCAATACTACATTGGTTATCAGATTGCAACACCTTGTTAGCTAGAAATATAGATGCATTTACAGCTCAAAGCACCTGCTTACCATCGAAACTATGAACAACTCATTCAATGAGCCTACACTGGCCACTATGGCTCACTCAAAATACTTCCTTGCTTATGAACCCTTGGCAGGTGGTGGAACATGGGAACTATGGGATAATTGGCACCAGTTTTTCCTGTACCTTCCCCTTTATGAAGCCCACTGAAATTGGAAACGATACGAGATTTTCTAACAGCCTTTATAGGATACCATTGGATTTCTGTCTAGAGGTTGGTAAGTTTCTCAATCTGTCACATGCCCTAAGGCCTCCTCCTGGTAATCATGGGTATTGAGTATGACAGCTGCTGTCCCTTTATCAGCATTCCTAATCATAAGGTTTGGATTTGTTTAAAAGATATTATTGCTTTCCGTTCATTTGCTATTATCCATCTTTATTTGAGGGGATGCGGTCTCACTTCCACATGCTAAAAGAATCAGATGCTACTTCCTACTGATTTCTAAAATGTGCCCGAAGCTTTATTTCTATCCATCCTGAACTGGGTAAAATAAAAATCTGAGTTCTACAACCCATACCACTAAGGAAGTGGTTACAATAGGTTAACATAAGGCTAAGATCCATAGACCAGGTGGATGAAATGCATGGATTACATCCGTTGGAATTATCCCCATGTGGTGGCGTATGGACTGTCAAAGCCACCATGAAGGAGATCAATAGCCTGGAAACTCGCTTATATGCAGGTAACCCAGATAATCTGACCCCCTTCCCAAGGAATGAGTACAGGGTACACAAGTATTACTTATTTCTCAATCCCAAAAGTAAACACGCTAGCACCCTAGACTAAGCCCTTTCTTTACATTACAATAAAAAATAGAATCAATGCCCCCCGATGTAAATCCCGCATCAGTCATGACAACCCAATGACATTGCCCTGTTGCACTAATACTACTAAATGACAAATCCCCAAAGTTGCAAAAATATAGACAAAGCAGTCAGTGATCCTGGGTGATGTAATTAACCATATTGGGTCAGTGGCATTCTGTCCCCCATGTCTCTCTTAGGAAAGTCGGCATAACAAGTCTCATTACAGTAAATAACTTTTTTCCTGCATTTGTTATGTAACAAAAGGTGTTGTAATTGTCATGTAAATGCCTTTTGACAATCGCCACCCCCAAAAAGGTAAACTTTCTTATCTTTTCATAAAGCCCATGGACAGTTTTCCCATCTCAGCTGTGGAATTTTTGTAGCTCCTAGTTAACAGTGGTGTCTTGGTTGCTATTCTCATGTCTTCTCTAGGGCCTGTGTAGACAGAACTTGGTTCTCTGACCATAAGATTCAACAGGAATGCAAATTAAAAAAGGTCAAAAGTTGTGTCAGCCCTCTTAGAAGATGGTCAGTGCAGGTCAGTTGCACGTAAATGCACCAAATTGTGAATGATCTTAGATGCATCTTAAACTGTTACCAAACAAACAGAATACACCTGGAAGAACAGCATTTGCCCATCAACACAAGTCCAAGGACCGTCAACCACTAGCCCTTGCCCCATCCCTCAGGTTTAAATGGTATCTCTTGGCAAAAGTTTTTTTTTTATGGAGAGTGGGGAAGGGTTAGACCAGGGGTGCCCATTAGGTAGATCGTGATCCACCAGTAGCTCTCAAAGCTGATGCTGGTAGATCAGGAAGGGTGTGAATGGTGGCCGCTTTATTCCATTTTGGTATATTTATTTAGCTGTGCACCCATGATTACCTATTAGCCGGAGTCTGCTGAGCCAAGCTCCCTGACACCTTTCTGGTGGATACTGGTGGTTGAAGTGCTATGTATTACATCAAAGAATATTAGTTTACACAGCCTGTTGCACTCCCAATGTTTGCAAAATACAGCAAGGTGAGCCAGGAGAGAGCGCGAGAAGAGACAGGCAGGAGAGAGGGAAGGAGAGACAGGCAGGAGAGAGAGAATGAGACAGGCAGGAGAGAGAGAATGAGAGAGCCAGGAGAGAGAGAAGAGACAGCCAGGAGAGAGAGAGGACAGCCAGGAGAGACAGCCAGGAGAGAGAGAAAGCCAGGAGAGAGAGAAGGAGAGACAGCCGGGAGAGAGAGAAGGAGAGACAGCCAGGAGAGAGAGAAAGCCAGGAGAGAGAGAAGGAGAGACAGCCGGGAGAGAGAGAAGGAGAGACAGCCAGGAGAGAGAGAAAGCCAGGAGAGAGAGAAGGAGAGACAGCCGGGAGAGAGAGAAGGAGAGACAGCCAGGAGAGAGAGAAAGCCAGGAGAGAGAGAAGGAGAGACAGCCGGGAGAGAGAGAAGGAGAGACAGCCAGGAGAGAGAGAAAGCCAGGAGAGAGAGAAGGAGAGACAGCCGGGAGAGAGAGAAGGAGAGACAGCCAGGAGAGAGAGAAGGAGAGACGAGAGAGGGAGCGAGGGAGGTTTTTTTTCCGTTGGTAGATCTCATGTAGCTCGTCATTTGAAAAGTAGATCTTAACACAAAAATTGTGGGCACCCCTGGGTTAGACCTTCTGTCTGGTTTTTATTCCTGTGTCCCCCAGCAGGGAGATTCACCCCTCTATTTGTACTAGTGGCCACTAACTTGGAGAAAGTGATGGGAAAGCAAACATTTTACAGTTATCCCCTGAACAAGAGTTATGGTGAAATCTTCAATAGAGACACCTGTTACGGGAACTGGCTAACATGCTCACTCGCTGTGACTTTTGAAGATTTCGTCATCCTGGGCAGGAAGAAGGGAAATTTACCCAATGGGACACAAACAGTTCAATGGTCAGACTTCTCTTTGTTTCTTTTTTTTTTAATGTATTTAACATTAGTCTGCCCAACATGTTGTAGCATGTGATTTTTTTTGTTGCTTCTCCAGAATCCTATTTCAGACTTGTTTTAATGATCCTTGGGGCTCACAAAGCATATAAAAGATATTTTCAAACACTGAAGCATTCCAGAAATTGAAATACTCAATTTGAGATTACATCATATACAACATACAGGTACTTTTTTTTTTTTACACTTGTAAATTTCAGAAAAATAAAGATTTTAATTTCCACATCAACATTCTGTATGTTATGAAGGTCAGTTGCAGAACATCCCATGTAAATCCATTTTACTTTTAGGTTGCAACACTAAACAATGTGGAAAGTTTTGGAGAAGAGTGATTAATTGTATAAAATCATTTTTAACTTAAAGGAGAACTATGAGGCTATGAGGAGAACTGTGACAATGAAACGGTCACAGGTCGGCTCAGTAGATCGGGAAGTGAGCGAACACATACCGGCGTTCACTCACTTCTCGATCCTGTCACAGCTCTCTGCCCCCCCGCTCCGATCCTCCAGCGCTGGCTGGCGGAACAGACGGGGGAGGGGGCGGGTACAGCTGGCTCTGCCTCTAGATAGGCAGAGCCAGCTGTCACTCATGCAGCCAGGCAGATCCAGACATAATTGTCGGATCCGCTTCAGCTGTGGCGTCTCAGTATACCGCGAGCTGTAGCTCGCGGTATACTGAGCTTAGGGTGACGGGAGGACACTAGTTTGTGTCCTCCCGTTACTCTGAGAACTATGGGGAAAAGCCCTAACCCCATAGTTCTCCTTTAAGCTGCTCTAAACATAGAACTTATTGGTGTTGTAATTTATACATAGAATATATATA